TATAAACTACTATAGGATAACATGGTCAATGCAATGATTTTAAAAACAATGTTAAAACAAGCTGGGTTTAATAAATATGAAGTTGCTACTAACGGGTTAGAGGGTCCGTTATTTAAATATTTTTTTAAGATATTTCTTTCGAAAGATGTTGAATTTTTTTTTTTTTTTTTTTTTACGAGCAGCTGTTCAAAAATTTTCAAGGAAGCTATATGACATAATATTCATGGTGAGTTCCGCTAAATTAATGACCTAATAATGATGATTGCAGTAATATAACCGCGGTTTTTGGTGGCAGGACTTACAGATGCCGATTTGTGATGGGGTATGCCACTTAATTCTCTAATCCTTTAAAAGATACTACTAACAATATGCTTGAAATGAAGTGAATTTATGTCATTTATTTTTGTTCTTTAATGTGTAGATTGAAGCAACAAAAGAAGTAAGTTCTTCACAATTAATAATTTGACTATTTTTTGCACTTCTTTAAATCTACAAAAAAAAAAAAAAAAAATTATTTTACAAAGATTCGAAAAATAGAAAACGGTGAGGAATCATATTTAATATCCGAAACGTTAAAGAATTCTGAAATATCGTCAACAAATATCGTTGATAAACAACGCCGGAAAAAAGCTATTATAATTGCGATGACTGGACTTGCTTCTGAAGTATGCATGATATAATTTTTTTAAACTAGATTCGAATTAATTATCGTTGTCTTACAATTTGGAAATATAGGAAGATAGTGAAGCCGCGGTATGGATTTGTTTGATAAAGGAGTTGGAGAATTTTTATTTCATTAGTTAATCGACAATATTCTTTTTTTACAATATAGGAAGCGGCGGGATGTAATGAGTTTTTGACGAAGTAAAGTTTAGAAAACTTTGCAAATAATTTTTTTTGTAAATTTCATAAATACTAATATTCAAATTCAAAAATAAGACCAGTATCAATAAAAACTCTAAATTCACGTATGAAATATTGGACACGTGATGTGCTAGAATATGATGATAGCGAAGTCGCCATAGAACTGGCAAAACCGCAAGAAAAAAAAGAACGGCAACAATTACAAATGACGGGGGAAAAATTCGATCTACCACAAGAGAAGGAAACGAAAGTGGAATCACAATTATACAAAACTATTAAGAAAATATAATCATCGTTGATGAAATTTTATGGTAAAAGATAAGATTAAAATGAAGAAACTTAAATTTCAGGAATTTGGTTTTGTATAAACTGATAACTCTTATTTAACTAGTACAATTTTGAAGGGTATTATATAAACGCATGCATTTTATATGTATTTTAGATAAAGTTTAATAACGTCCAATTTCTGTGACACATATGTCCTAATCTAATTAAGAATATTTGAGTTCTAAATTTTTTAGAATTATCAATTGTCTTTAAATCATGGCTTGAATTTTTCATTAGTGATCCAGATCGATAAAGGATCGGAAATGTCTACTATGATATTACAGAGATTATCTTACTTATCCAAAACGTAGACATTGGGAATGTGTTCCTGGAATATTATTTGATGCTGAAGTACGACATCATCATTTTTATCTTAATATTTAACCAAACAACACTTGCTTACTGTTCATACACCAAAACTCCCATATCGAATATTAGGTGCGAATTGTTCTTTGTATAACCGATTCCTCCTGCAGAATCAGTAGACTTTAGAACAGGAGGGATATAAAAAAGCTAGATTAAAAGTGAACTTGAACGATAAGAACGAACTAACAAAATTTTTATTATTAATAAAATTTATAAGACATTTTACATTATAGCAAATTTATTATTTATCGTTATGACCTTTTCGCGAGTTCAAGTATTGATAAAGAGTATTGTCTAGAAGTTTTCGTACTTTCAATAAAAGAATCACTTATAAGATTAATTAATTTCGACTAGTCTTTTATTTTTTTTTAAAAAAAAAAAAAAAAAATAGGGTGCCTGGCATATCTAAAATATGCATCCTGGCGCGTAGCGCAATTTAGATTTCAAAATTTTGAAACAATTTTTTTATATCGATATATAGGCATACCATGTCACTATGGCATGCCCATGCCACTATGCAGTCAAGCCTTCTTTGCCGTAAGCCTACCTTTTTTATATGGAAATTCGAGACAATTATTTAGCGTTAGATCGACTCAATATCACATGATAAGAAATTGAGATGCATTAGATCGAGTGAGAGTTTTAAGTTTATACATCGTTCAGAAATGGTACAATTAATTTTTTTTTGTTTTTAGACAGTGTTTTAATATATCGATACTTAATAAATTAATTAAATTACAAACAGAAAGTAAAAGTACTTAGTCGTAATGCCTCAGATTACGTTCGTGAAACTCCTCAAGACATTCATAAAATAAAAAGAAATTTAGACCCTAGTTTGCATCCTTTTGAAAAAGCTCGTGAATACACTAGAGCTCTTAATGCTGTCAAATTGGAACGCTTGTTTGCTAAACCTTTTGTTAGTGCTTTGAGCGGTCATGTGGACGGTGTCTATTGTATGGCTAAACATCCTCTAAAATTAACCACGATCATAACCGGCAGTGGTGACGGAGGTATTATATATAATTTTGTTTAGGAAACCCATAATTTCTGTTAATTTGATTAAATAGATCTAACAATTTCTATAGATTTAAGAATTTGGGACTTAACCGAAAAAACAACTACTTGGAAAGTAGCCGGACACAAAAGCATGGTTAAAGGTGTTTGTTGTAATCCAACAAAGAGCAATTTTTATCAACGTGGCCCACTTCGTCAACAATCATTTCATTTAACTATTAGTTGTAGATATTACTATTTGATAAATT